ACAAGAAATTTTATACTGTGATCTTGATAACTTAAGATTCATCTATATATTCCATTAGGTGGTGATTTGAAGATATACAAGGTCTCCTTTTCCATGCTTATTGTATGCATTTCATATTATAGGCCTTATTATAACTTTCTTTACTGCAATCTTTTTCATAACATGCTTCACAAAAGAAAGATTTTTGTTGTTTGACAATAAATTTCGATTTTAGAGCTATTTTTAGTTTTACACTTTCTGACCAGTATTTATACGATATTGTACAGACAACAATATGCCCTAGTATGTGTTTTTTATGGGTTTCTTGATCAAATGTCATTCACCTACAACTGAAAGAGCATCAAAGAAACTCAGAAGGTAACACTTTTGCTTGGTTTTGATCCCTTGCTAAAAAAATCATTTTATTATACAGAAAAATTTTAGAGTAAAAAATCGTATAAATGCTAATTTATACTCCAAAATTTGAAAACAACAACAAAGAAAAAAAGGTTAGCCTGATACAAAAAATTAACAACTGAAAAGCAAGTATTATAATCTTTGATAGATTTTTTAGGCAGAGTGTTCATAATGAGTAAACTGGAATGGACAACAACTGCCTGTTGTAAAAAACACAAGTGTAGAGGACAAATTTTCAGAAGTCTTCCGTTTTTCATATAATCATTTTAAATATATACTTTTAGTATATTGGCTATATGTAAAACAAAAAATACTGGGGCTAGCATATCTTCAGTGGTTGTTTTTCACCATTATCTAAATGGAAAGTGGAAATTACAATGTCACGGAAGCCCACTGCTATTTTTGTAAATAACGTGACCTAATTTGAGGAAACAACACCTATCCTAAGATAAAGGTACCTTAAGTGGCAAGCCTTGACCCCCCTAATTGATTGTGATATTAAAATCTGGAAAATGTATTAGAACATGTTATATAAGTTATCAACATTTATTTATTTGAATAACTAAACATAATCTATATACAGTAGGGAGTTGTTTACAAAGACATCTTTCTTTCTCAAGGATTGACTTACTTCCAACTTATAGATGTATATTCATCAGTGTTAAAATTCAGCTCAGTAAAGTATAGGATTTCTTTAACTGCATTTGAATGGTACCATTTCAAAGGTATTCATAAGTTTCTTCCAAATATTTTACAAAATATTTATGGTGTGATTTTAAAGGAACTACTTTTGAGGCAGATTGGATTTAATATGATAACAACTTAAGTGGCACTAAAGATAAGTTTTTGTATTGAACAAATAAGTTATTGCAGTAAACTGTTACTGTTGAATAAAAAGTTGTTGTAGTGAAAGTAACAAATTTTTAAATAAGCAGTTTATTACAAACTAATATTTATTTTGAATATATATTATGATAAACTATTTTCTCTTTTTTAAAATTCCCACAGTTTTGATTGCTCAGGGTCACAGTTCTTTCCTCTTTTGCTTGTCTGGGCCTACTTACTATTTATTCTGAGCCTCTTGCACATGTTGACCCTTTGTGCAAAATTTCTTTCCTAGATTAGCTTAATAAAACACTTCAAATTTCTTGTAGAACATTTGCTCACTGAGATACTGTTTGATGAGTTTTCCATTTGCATGTGCATGTCTATTGTCATTTTACTATGTTTCTAGACATGGAGAGTACGGGGAGAGTGCATACCTTTTTCATAAACTTAATTGTTTACACTATTCAGATTGTAAAGATAAAAGCTATCATGGTGAGGAGTCGTATCATGAAATGAAAAATTTTACATTGTGGATTAAAGAGGTATATTTGGATTCGGGTACTACTAGAAAAACAGTTATGAATATTAGGGGTGCGTACCTCATCACAGTAGTCAATATGATACATATCTAAATACAGAAATTTTACCAGTGGTTTATTACAAAGTTTGACAATCTTCTCTTAAATTTATTATTTATATTAATAACATTATTTTATTTAAGTACTTCACACTTTACAGTGCTTTTTCCAATTCTCAGGTTTGATCAACTAAATGGCAGTTGGCAAGAGAAATAAAATAAAAATTAATATCTGTATATCTATTTTGTTATTGTTAATTTGTTATGTTAATTGCCTGTAATGTTTTTGATAAAAGAAATGAAGACAACATGTAGTACTCAATACTCATCTTTCTTTATTGAATCATTAATTTTTAGCAAAAATACTTTATTAGAAATTCTGCTTTTTATATGTACAAAAGACTTATAATGTTTACTGAAAGCTTGCCAAATTTCGTGAAGATACATAAATCTTATCACTGTATCACCACATCTTTAATAAATACATGTTCATCTAACATTAACAGACTCAAGACATTCAGTATGTGATTTTTGAACTACTAGATACATGTTATTAGTCTGCATATCACTACATAAACAGAAACGAGTTCTTGTGCCCCTAAGAAGGACAAACTTGTTTGCCGTAAGGTTCACAAGATAGTAACGTGTTAATAGAAAAACATTGACCTTTGTATTAGTAAACAAAAAGTATTGAACTTATGTACTTCTGCCATAAAATATATAGTAAATGATTTGTATACTACTAGTTACATATTTTGAACAGTATACTTTAAGAAATGGTAAATAACTCAAGCAAATCCAATATTAACAAGTGATTGTGGAATAAGGTACATTGTATTGTTTCTGTGATGATTTATGTATATGATGAACTAAGGTAATAAGCCTTTGAAAGTCTAACACAAGATACATGGTAAATGATTTGTGTGCTATTATATACATATTACTGATCCATGTGTTATTAGAAAACAGTAATGATCTTGTACTTCTTACAGTAGCAGGCTCACATAAAAGATATATGTTAAATGCTTTGTTTACTAGGTACTTATTATGGACCCATGGTATACTGGAAACAAATAAAGCTTCACAGTAAATGATTTTTGATCTAGTTGATTCATAATATTAACCTATGTGCTACTAAATAAAAAATATTATTAATCTAGGTACTTTGAAAAAGGCAAAAATTAAATGATTTTTGAACCTTTATACAAATATATTTGGCCCATTAATTACTAGAGAAAAAATAAAGAACTCGTGAATTTTTTAGTAGCAACAGAATTGTATACCACAAGATTCAAATTAAATTATCTTAGACATATATTGACTTATTTGTTAATAGACAGACAATAATGAATGAATGTACTTCTAATATCGACAGAGGTTCATTTACCCTTTCACTGCCTTGTTTATCAATAAAGAACTCTTGCAGTGCTAGATTTATTTTTAAATTTCTAAACACATTTGATATTGTGTAATTATTTATCTTTCACTTATTACTTGTGATATCAACATTAAATTGTTTTAGAAATAATTGCCTGAAATATTTCACCTGTGATTGTTTTTTAGATTAAGAGAAGTATAATAAGTAAAAATAAATTACTTGTGCATTTATTATTAATAGGTAACATTTAATAATATTAATTAGTTATAAAATTATTGGTTTTATTGCATACCTGTTTCTTGGAACAGTTACTTGTACCATACTTTTCAAAACTGAAATATAAGTTATATAGTGTGTACTATATGTTTGCCCTTGGGAGTGAAAGATTTAATAGAATCAGTTACCTTATTATTTGAAATTGCCCCCAGTGGCACAGTGGTATGTCTGCAGACTTGCAATGCTAGAAACAGCGTTTCGATACCTGTGGTGGGCAGAACACAGATAGCCCATCATGTAGCTTTGTGCTTAACTACAAACAATTAATGGAAATTATGGTAAAATAGTAAGAGTATCCATAATGTTATTCAACTTAACTGGTAGCTCATTTTAATTAGTAATTTTTGAAGTTTAATTCATTCTGCAATTATCACACTAATTTACAGTTCAGTAGAGGGTGTGAACAATGACAAAAGTAATGAAGGTTTTGAGCTATAACTACATATGTGTATGAAATATGAAAAATTTAGAAAAAAAGAAAATGTTATTATTTTTGGTAACAGTGTGGTATAAATTACATAACTGAGAAAAACTGTATTACTCCTTACTTTCTTCATTTAACAAATCTGACAGAGATTATGATATGTAGGTAGACTTGAAAGAAAGTATTTTATATTTTGTAGCTTAATATCAATGAATTTGTTACTGTCCTTCACTTATACTATACTAGTACACAATGGCCTATATACTGATACATTTTTGTTTGTTTTCGTATTTATGTTAAAGATATTCATACATCTTTATTTTGAAGCTTCAGTGTTATTACAGTAGACCCCTCCTTATAACGACTTCCTCTGAATACGACATTTTTTCTGTGCACAGAACGATTTTACATTGATCTGACCTCCCACAAATGACTTAATAACAGATGCGACATACGACTGTGATTTTTGGGTTGAAGGTTGAATAATGACTTTTCTTCATATCAATAATGTAATTTACAGAGACACATGAATACAGTGTATACAGTATGGAACAAAGAGGTCACATGACCAGAGTTTGCTTCACAGCATGGTATATGTATCTTAGTACCCCGAGATGTTCAAGTCAAACTCCTTGGTACATACACGTAGGTATTTTAGTTTAAAAACTTTCACAGGCAGTCAGAAACTATTGTTTGTCTTTGGTTTATTCTTTTAGTGAATGTAGTAGTTTTTGAGCTAGTGGCCTAGACTTTAAGTAACTGGATTAGGATTTACTAATGGGGTGTGAAGATTATTAACTCAACTCATGCGACTTTTTTATCATGGCAGATAGGTCGGTCGTATCTAAGAGGGACTACTGTAGTAAGAGATTTTACATCTTACTAAATTAGTTACAAATTATTTTATTTAAACCTTTAATCTGCATTTTTTACATGTGAATTCACTAATCAAAATTTTTAAATTGTTAAATTTTCATCATTTTGTTTTCTAAGTTTGACCAGTAGCTTGCTGGAAGTAGAAAGTTATTTCACACACTACATTAAAATTAACAAAAAATTGTTTTACTGTATTTTATTTCTCTTTGTATTATACTGAAAAAGTAACTTTTTTGTACATGTAGGATGACACATTTGAAGACAGCAGACGTGGAATTCAAAGCTTTTCCTTTGAACAGTAAGTTTTTCTTATTTTTTGAGATACTCATTCTTCACATACTTCAAAATACTCTGTTCTTTTGTAACTTAATACCACAATAAATAAAGCTTATGCATATTCATAAAACCCAAGTATTTCTTAATTTGAGTATTTTATAAAAACAATTTAATGATAGAATTCAAAAACAAGCTTTAACAAGGAACATTTTTGAATGAGTTTTGACATTTTTGGAGTAAACAGCTTTTACTTCCAGATAATAAAATAAAACTTGTTTCTTGCCTGACACATTTTAATTTTACATCTTCATCTTTGAGTTACTGCTGCTGAAGGCTGGCCAGAAATGGAAAGAAAATCAGAAGGTTTATGTATTTAGTAAGAAATAACGGTATGTATTTAGTAAGAAATAACGGTATGCATTTGTAAATATATATATATATTGCTGTTACAGCGACATAAATTTTACTTAAACATTGGTATTATTCTAAAAGAAAGTAACAAGGTACTTACCTGAGAAGGGCTAAGATACACTTTAAGAAAAATAAAATAAAATTAATACTTGAACACTAGATAAGTAAATTGGAGTTTATATTGTACAGTATGGGCAGTAATTACAGAAACAGTGAGGAAAAAGGGTGTAAAAGGCAACTATTGTAGGAATACAACACCTTTATCATGTGAAAGTGCCATGCCAATATAAAGTCATCATTCTGTCTGGTAGTAGTAGTATTAGTATGTTCCAGGTGTAACATAGCACATAATAAATGTGCAAAAATACTGTTGTGGCTGATTAAGGATATTCCACATGAATATATATGGCAAGACACCTTCTGTCAATAGGAACTGTATGCAAGACTGACACTGTTAATAATAGATTATTCCAATACCTTCATTTATTGGAATCAGAAAAGAAAGTCAGTAACTCGAGCACTTTCAGAAAGTGGACTTTCCTTTGTGATGAAGGGTAGTACACTTTCCAAAAGTGGTCAGATTATTGAGTGTCTTTGCTGATGCTAACTTTTGTATGTTGATTCTTCTTGCTTTGGAATATCGTGAGTTCATTTATGAGAATTGAGATATAAAGTAAAATAATGTTGATATTAAAAAGAATTGTATCTTGACACAAGACTGGAGAATGGTTGTACTTGGTGCATAAATAAATCTATTGTGTCCTTGCAATAGGATGGTATATATATATTTCAACTGTAACTGAAGAATTCTGCCTGAAACACATGAAATGTGGTAGAATTGTAAGCTGGCACAATAGGTCTTTTAGAAAGGCCATAGAACTCTGGCAGTCTAATGTTTATTGGTTTTAGTTGCCATTCATTTGTTTGAAGATCTGATTTTCTATTTCTATATTGCCTGAAATATCTTTTGCGTTTACTTCCCTTTTATGCTTTCGATCTTTCTCAACTGACTGGTGGGGTGTCTTGCTTGAAAAAATGTTAGTTTGTTGTTATTGTTTTTAACAGACTTTTCTGATGTCAGCATTTCTGATTATAGCATATTTAGTTGTTTTTTACTTTAGTGAATGTGAGCTTATTATTTTGTTTATAGTTTTTGAAGTTATCAACAATTTTTTATGTTTCACATTTTAAACTTTGCAGTTTGCTTTCCTATTCTGGTCAAGTCAGTGGAGGCTTGAATTTGGTTGCATCAAAAAGACATGTTTCAATGCAGTAACTTGCCTCTTTTCAACTGAGAACTAGTTAGTTCCATTCCCAAAATTTCACAGACTGCTTTGTACAATATTAACTATTTTAAAGTACTTTGAAATTGCATTTTAAAATAGTAACCGGATGGAGTCCAGGTTTTGGGGTCGGAAGTGGTTTTTGTCTCGGACTGAACCACTGTTTTTAGCATTTAATATTTACATGGACAATTCATTTGTGTTATGTTTGACTTTGTGTGATGCAAGTATAGGTCCATTGGCAAAAAGTATTTGGCACTCAAAGGGTTAAGGGCTGTTAATCAACTCGGGCAATATCACTGAACCACTGTTTTTAGCATTTAATATTCACATAGACAATCCACTTTTCATCACAGGTGAAAAATCTGTCCAAAAATGGTTCATGCTCATTACGTGCCACAAGAGACAAGCAACGTTCACACGTTGGAAACGATGATCGTTGGAGGCACCCAAACACCTTCTTTATGAAGTTTTCCCATATTCCTAAGATATTTACGTATTGTTTCATGAGAAACATTTAATTTCAGGGCCATTTCACGAGTGTGTTGCCTTGGGTTAGACTCAACAAGCATCTTCAAAACATCAATTTCTACCTGCCGGCCCCTGCCATTACAGTTTTTAAGGCTAAAGTCACCTGAACGAAATTTGCTGAACATATCATTGACACTTACAATTGTTCAAAACATTTCCATAAACTTATTTGATATTCTTTGTAGCTACAGAGACATTGTTTCCATTCTTGTATTCAAACAGCATTATATGCCAAATGTGTGTCTTGTCATGTGCCATCACTATAAGGGATTATAGTATACTAAACTTTACACTTTTTGTAGGCTACACTAACGTGATGTTTAGGCGGTTCGTTCAACTATTATACGTGATGTACGTTTTTGGGGGGTGGTTAATGAAAGTGTTCCAAAACACAACATTAATTTCTGGATGTCCTAATATTAAGGATAGCTTTCACAAATCAAAGGAGAATGAATATAGTCACAAGAACACTGATAACTTGAACATCAAGCTTTGTTTCCAATTCATTGATCACATTATTGAGATACAAACCATTGGTGAGTCAGTATCAACTGTTCTTGTCAATATTTGAGTGAAAATGAAGCTCTTCATGGGACACAGATTAACCCTTTAAGTACCAGTCCTGGTAGTAACCAAGTCACTACACCATAATAAATTCATGATATATCTGCAATGCATCCACCATACATTGTTGGAATGATGCTCTCTGCTACTATGCCCAGTGCTGTGATTGCTTGAGGAATTTTTTCATCTCATTTACATGTGTGGAAGAGAGTTTAGCAGTGTTATCATCTGTACTGTATTGAGAATGTTCGTTTATAATCTACATGAGTAGGATTTTGTACCACAGGCTAATAGTGGCATAAGTACTTCAATAAACAATATTAGATTTACTGAATGATGAAACCAGGTTATATTCGGCTGTTTAGAATTTGAGGATGAATTTGTGTTATGTTTGATTTTGTGTGATGCAAGTATAGGTCCATTGGCAAAAAAGTATTTGGCACTCAAAGGGTTAAGGGCTGTTAATCAACTCGGGCAATATCAAAATTGTGTGATGATCTCAAAGAAGAGTGAAAACAAACTTCTGACACTACTGTTGTTGTACTTGATTTCATGATGAAATTCAAAGCTATATATATTTCAAAGAAAATACATCAGAAATTTATGGGAAAAGAGGGAAGGTTTTTAAGGATACAAAAACAATACTATTTGTGTAATAAAGAAGCTGGGCATATTGTAAACCACAACTTGTACCTTGATAATACCTTGTTAGGTAGGAAGAAACAAAATTTATCTGTTATACAAAAAAATGATGGAAAAAAGTGTATGAGCAAGGAAATTGTGAAATTGATTTGTTTCCAATAAGTATTTTCATAGTGGGTTCTTTTTGGGCATTCAGCTAATCTCAGATAATATATTTTGCCACATGTAGAATAACTGGAAATATCATGTTGAAGATACTATTCCCAAATTATTGATTCATGAAAAACAAGAAAAGATTTGTTTCTCACTGCATAGCAAATTATACATTTACGACACCCAGGGGCTTTAGATATTGCAGTTAGAAAACACAAAACAATAATTGTATGTTAATTTAAAAGATTAGATAATGCCTGTCACATTTGAAGTTGGATAGACTTGTTATTCCAAGCATGGGGCTTCTTATGGGTGAAAAATATCTCCAGTTATTGTGACAAAATAATGAGTATGTTCAAGCAGGGAGTAAGACAATCATCAGAAAAGTCCTTGCCTATTATATTGGAAAGCTTGTGATGAAATATATGAAAAGATACGATTTACCAAGTGAATTCAAAAGTCTGACATCAAATAGGGCAGTTGTCAACTTTACAAAAGAAGGGGGCAAGAAGAAGTTGAGAACTACTGGGAAGTAAGGGAGAAATGTAATGAATTTTAAATATAACAAAGTAATTTTCAGTATACTTGATGCTGATCCAGGAATAAAACCTTGATTTGCCTTACACAAATTCAAAACATTCAATGGTAGATAGATTTCCAAGTTATTCACAAGTTAGAACTATGAAAGCTAACTTGAAAACAGTCAGAAAAAATTACAATTGATTTGCTACTGTAATTGAACTGTAAGAACTATTCAGTGGTGTCCAGCATCATTCTAACTAGCAGAGACCCGCAAAACATTTCCGGCCAAATTTGTATCTTTATCTTAACAGTACTTCTTTAAATATAACATTTCTAGCACAATACAAATGAATTGTAATTGTAGACAATGAAATGTGTAAATCCACTTGTATATAGGCAGTACTTTATAAAACTTTTACTTATGTTAGGCCTAAGTTCGATAAAGGGATAAATTAACACTGTAACCTGTGTACGTTTTTATTTACTTTAGTTTAGTTAGGACTAAACTTTACTGTACTTAATACTGTCGATAAATAAACTTATAATGTTATCCTACGACCTAACG